GGGTGTTGGGGGGGTGTATAGGGGTATTTGGGGTGGGTATGGGGGTGTCGGTGTGGTTATTAGCGGTTGCCGACGACCCCCGACCGGTAGGTGCCAACTAGCCGACCGGTCGGCGGGTCGGCAGCCGATTAGTCAAGGGTCGCCGACGGTCGGGGGTGTGCAACACTGCTGCAGATGTATTGGTATAGACTCTTTAACTTTTGGTAAAGTTGTAACCATGGTTGCTAACGGACAAACCGGTGGATGGACTTGATGGAATCGATGGATGGATGGTGCAAATTTATCCCCCTTTTCTCAGGCTGGGGTCGAGGAGGATGAATTTATGATTCTCGTCATTTCGGCATCACAAGCATGTGGTTGGGATTAAGAGAGTTGAACTTGGCGAACAAGCAGATGGGGATCTTGCAATCGCACTCGTCCATTGCTGAGGGACGCGGACGGGCCTTGTGGTCCCCACCAGTCCCAACAGTGCAAACATTGGGGGGGGGGGCGGAGTTCAGTGCAGGCTATCCAAAATTCCAAATAGATAGCAGGACGCACCAGGAGCGAAAAAGAGCGAGAAAGACAACAGGAAAAAGAAAAAAAAAACAACCAAGAGAGGAAATAAGGGTGAAAATACCGTGAAAGACAGATTGCGCCTCCCCATGAATTTTGTGCATGCTGCGTGCTGCTCCCCATAATTCAAGCACCTACCGTCTTCTCCCCCCAATGCAACATTCTCTTATTGGGACTGTGTTGGACTGGAAAAGAAAAGATAGCCTGTATGCATTCTCATGCTAAGGTGTATGTCGTATTTGGGGGAAGACGGTAGCTGCAGAACCCTTTTGACAAAAAGGTCTGTACATTGCGGACCGGTTGCTCAACGACAGAAATGATAAACCACTGATACTTCCAAGGCACTTTTCGCTGACCCTCGGAATGCCCTGTGCGCCACAGAAAAACCGAACTGGTGCGACCTTGTCCTTTTGGCCGGCGCCAGCAGCCATTGTGCTTCTGAGGCCAAGCCCCGAAAGTTGCGGCGGGTGCGCGAAAGCTCATCGGTGCTCTTTAATCTGACACTGTGATGATTGTGCTGTTGGAAAACGAATGGCGATCTGTTTCCATCTGGATTTGAACCTCTGACCTACAGTCATCAACAGTTAGATGTCAGAAGCACTCAGCCTTAAAGGCATGCTTTGTGCTGTGATTGTGCTGTGTGTATAAGGGGCAGGCAGGGCGCACTAGTGCTATGTACATGCTGAGAAAGCAAGAAGAACCTGGTCATTATTACGGCCAGGTTCACGCTTTCCAAGCACGACGATAGCACCAGTGGGCCGTGTATCAGAACTTAGGAACGATGAAAATCAGAAAAGAAAGGCTTAACAACAGGTAGCCTCCCACTACCCCCTCCCACTACCCCCTCCCACCCCCCCCCCCCCCCCCCCCTTCCCCCCCCTCTAACACACACACACAAAAAAAAAAAGGGGCCATGGGTGCCTTACATCTGCATGTTTGTCGACCCTGTGCATGCTGCTTTTGTTGCACACAGCGCTTTTGTGAAAATAGGAAAGACAAAAAAAAAGAAAAAAGAAAAAAAAAAAGGCACGGACTGAGAAGGAAAGATAGAAAGCCCGCAAAGATGGGGAAGCGGGGAAAGTACGGAAAGCCAGGACATGAGTGCGCTAGCCCATTGTGGCTGAGTGCTTCTGAAATTTAAGTGTTGATGATTGTTGGTCATAGTTTCGGAAACAGATGGCTACAATAATATCGAGGACTACCCTCTCTTTAATGACAGAATAAAACGAGGGGGGGGACGGTGGGGGGGGGGGGAGTTGCACGCATGGATGTTTGTAGCTGTGGATGCATGGTTATCTGGATGGCTGTTGGCTTTCGACCGGCAGCATTGCCACACAGGTCTGTTTTTGCCATCTCGGGCTAGTCATTTGTGTGCGTTGTCACGGAAGTCAAAGCAATAATGAACAAGCAATAGGGGCACTTTTGCATGCACACACACACACACACACACACACACACACACACAC